GGTTTGCAGGCGTACAACGTGGATAAGGTACAACGTATCCGAAGAGCGAAGCCGAATTTGAACGCATCTGTTTGCTTATTCTTTGCATCTGTGCCGAATTCGCACACACGTTTATCAACTTCAAACAATGTCTGCGTGGCTGTTTCACCGACTGGCGAGCTTCCCTCACTGTTTATCATGTCTGCTCTTAGCGCGTCATCTGGACAGTAGCCCTTGTTGCAGTCATACGCTGATCGACAAGTCCACGTGCCCGCTGCGGCTTCATTCGCCTGCCCCGCCCCCAAATCGCAGTTAATGCAATCAGGCCTCACGCTCTACCGAACAGATTTCGCAATGCAACAGGCGGAGTTAAGCCATGTGTGAACCAGTGACTATGACGGGTTGGGTCATCAGTGCTTTGTGACAGTGGCATATTTGGTCACTGACATACTGATGTGCACGCGAAGCACACGCACGTTCGGTCGTGGACGGGGTTCCGGTGACTGAGCAGGTGCCCGAGTTTTGTTGAGGCACGCACATCCTGGGTTGTGGTAACTCATAGTGACTTTCAAAACAGACGATAGAAAAATTCCCATTGAAAGCGCATTCTTCTGCTGCACCTTAAAACGCTGAAGAGTGATTTGTGCCTGTTTTTTTGCTGCTTTATTTGGAATGTGTTAATGGGATTAGTGAAATTAGCAAAAACCTGTGACAATATTCCATGTACGAACACAGTTGTAATTTTTGTAATGTACTACTCAGATGGTTGCTGAAAACCGTCGACAGCCCACGACCGGTTTCGCCCTTTTTGAGGCTCATCAGGTAGGCGCAGTTCCCAGGTTTCCGTCAACCTTACGTTCTACTTGAATTTAGTTTTCCGTAGCTGAGGGCAGAAATTTGGGGCAACGGATTCCGGATGCCGACGGAAAGATACACTTAATGCACTTTGCGATATCGTACGACCCATTGAAATGCATGAACCTTCAAAAAGCAGGTGTATTCGACCCTCGAACAAAGACTACTCGTGTGGAGATCACACGTGGTCCTAATTTTAGGGAAGGTGCTGTGTGGCTCGGTCTCCACCTGGTAACTCACTCCAAACAGACACTAGCCTTAACGACGAAAGTACGTGAATCGAACAGCAACCTTACTGTGAAAAGGGAATCGATCACATATTCTAGGATTGATCGACGAACAAGGGAATCGATCAGACCAGCTGGCGTGAAGTTCGTGTTTGACTGCAAATTATAGTGGGTAATGCGAAAAAAGATTGTACCCATCCTTTGAATGAATATAAAATTGTTGTGATTAAGGCAGCTAACCATCAGCAGCTAGTTGACTTTTGTTATCGGAAAAGGTGGACAAAAACTCGGGATGTTTTGGGCACTATTTGTTTTTGGAAGCCCACTGTAATCATTCAGAGTCGAAAATGGAGAGAAACCGAAAAACTGCAGCCATTATGGTTACCCCGTATACATGCGGACAATCAGCTGTGTGCGTTGGGTTGGTATCAAGTTTCGCACACGGTAAAGAAGATAGGCATGGCTAACTGAAGTGGCGGGGAGTGAGCTCTGTAGTGATTTGGTGGTACTGACTCAAGTGGCGGATATGGTGAGGTTACGTACTGACTTGCATGGTGGACCTGCCTCAATCAGACAGGCAGATGCCCCGGAATTGACCTCCAATACTCAAGTCTACTGGCATTGGTCCCAGAAATCAGTGAGCTTGGTATCATTTCTCACCTGCAGAGAATGTTGCAGTTCTCCCTTCATGTGTGATCGCGTAGCGATTCTTTTCAATATCACCAAGTCCTTGTTACTTCTTCACTTCCTTCGTCCTCATAGCCGACGCAGTAAGCAAGTAAAGTCGCCCACACTTTCCAAGTTAGTACCTTGATTTGGGAAAGCGCACAACCAGCTGCCCCCGGGATGGTGGTCGCTATGAGGAGGGACTGATATGCTTACCTCTGCCGACCGCTTCGACCTCTCAGTATTTGTGGGCTTTGCAAATGCTACCAGTTGCTAGTTTTTAAGACCTCCGATGACATACTGGCATCTCAAACAGCAACAATATGTGCTGTGAAGCTGTTTATATTCAAAAAACCTCAGTTCTGTAACGGCGCCGTCCCGTTCTACGGAAATCTTGTATGTTTATTCCTGAGATGATATCGGCATATTTGTAGACCAAGAAAACATCAGAAAAACAAAACAGTAACCAAAACATCAGTTTTGGCCACTGAAAACGTGCTGGCTTCATAAACAATGGCTTTGAATATTACTTCACTCAGAATCGCCAGCCCCATTATTCACCGCTATGTGCGAGTGGTGAATGGACGCCGAAACAGGCGACGGTAAAATCTGCTGATTGGTATTTTCACTTTTCTACAACTTTAATTTTTTTCCGTCAGTGTTACATCCGTCACGTGAAGTTGGTGAAAAACAAATTAAACTTATGATGGATCAATCAAAATCGATTACTCTATTAGGCGTTACATCTATTCAACACATCTTCCTAGGTCCCTAGACAAATCCTAGTGACGGCCAGATTACAGAAACTTGTCATTAGGAGAGTGACTGTGGTGAGGCGATTCCACTCATACACACACTGGCTATTTCACATCGACTTGGGATGGAACATTTGCAGCCGAACTCAGCGAACAAATTAACGACTAGGAAAATTCGATAAGGAGGAAGAGCAACATTTCATATGATAGCCAGTCGGAGAAAAATGACAGTCAACATCTGAGTTTCCGCCGTTACTAAGTTTGGGAAAGCACCACCAAACGGGTGTCCATGAAATCAACTTCTATGATTGGTGGTCTTCAGTAAGGAAATTAATACCGTACAGTTCCTACAGTATATTCATTCTCTGGAAACACCAAGGAAGCCATATCACTGGAGCTGATGATCACTCGAGGATCAAATACTGCCAAGAAAAGTAAGAAGGCTTGTACAGAGCAACGCAATACCGAACCACGGATGACGCGTTTAAGGACACACGCGACAGTTCGTCACGAGCGTTTTCACAGACAGCGGTAGGACCGTCATCGCTATACAGTTTCATGATGAGATGATGTGAGGGCGGGACAGAAATAACGTCCAAGGCACAAAATGCGAACATTCCAGGGTCCCGATAGACCTGTATGGCGTCAAGTATGGTTAGGAAGCGACTTGGGTGAACCAAAGAATGTGTGGTAGTAAAACAACTCAATCGGTACTACAATCAGTAATAGGCCAGCCGAAAATCGCGTTCGCATTTCTAATCATGTGTACTGACAAACACGAACTTCCGAGGGAAAACTTTTGCGTACGGCTAGCATCCCACAGACGTATAAATCCTTCAAACTCCACTCAAAAAGCAAGGTGGACAGTGAGCCAAACCGCACAACCAGCTCCAATGGAATGGTGTCAGTTTCCTAGAGGACGCTGCTTGGCTGATTCATACGGGAGGTGGTGAAAAAGTGAATTGTCAAGCAAATGGAAGCAGCCACTCGAAGAAAGGCGAGGGCTGCAGGTTGCCCAAGCATAGACAAGGGGAGTCGAGAGACAGAGTTCGGGTTCGAACCACAGACTCTCCGGTCAGTAAATCCGTCCTCTAACCACTGAGCCATCTCGCCCTGTAAAGCAATACGGAAAGATACGTTTATAGTTACTCCCCCCGCTCGACCTAAGTAACACCATGCTCCTGATCTGAACCAAAGTTCAGTTCTTCTAGTAATCAAAACAACGGGACTGAAATTGAAACAGTTCCAGAAGATGTATCAGCAAATTAACGAGCTCACCTACTCTGAATAGCTGAAAACATACCTAGTCAGATAACACAGTAATGCTCCTTCTAAACGCGAACCTATCATCATCATCATCATCACCAACAGGCGAACCTGCTAGGGAGAAAAAGTTTACGAATTAATCCGAATATCGTCCCAGCGAAATCCGATGGGAGAACCACTACTGTCCGATATAACCGAATCACTATGGAATCATTCATTCTCATCATCATCATCATCACCAACAGGCGAACCTGCTAGGGAGAAAAAGTTTACGAATTAATCCGAATATCGTCCCAGCGAAATCCGATGGGAGAACCACTACTGTCCGATATAACCGAATCACTATGGAATCATTCATTCTAGCTGGAAACTATCGAGAACTAGAAAACCCAGAGAAGAAAATCGTATCGACTGGATGTCGGAATGGCTTCGTTGGCCAACACGATTAAGCGTGATCAATAACATATTTGGGAAGGCTGGATACAAGATGCTATGTTCTTCTTTTCGATCAGCCCCGGAAGTGCTGGATTGGCACAAGGGTTAGCAAAAATTTTAGAACCGGTTGCGCTTAAATTGTCATCAATCAGGTTAAGAGGTATTTGACTTTGTATGTTCAACCAAAGATGTTGAAGTTTGTGAAGAGCCCTTGCCAATAAAAATCGAAGCAATCTCGCTGACGATGGAAAATAGGTACGGACATCCTAATGCGCATATTTTAACAAGTTGATTGTGGCATGAAGCGCGGGGCGTGACCAGCCGCATACTGATGTACAAACACTAATCATCGATCGTCTACGAACTGTACCAACCACCTGATGATTGATCGATCAATCAGCTGTGTATACAAGCTGGGTAGGCTGGTGATCTTGTGCGTGCAAGTTGTTAGCCGATGTAGGTGGTGTGCCGGATAGCCTTTGTCAGATGATGGAGCACGTGAATCGTACTTTACTCAGCATACTTCAGCGACAAGAACTTACGCGTATCGATCGACGATGTCAGCGTGGTTAACCTTCATGGATTTGCATTCCGCTCTATCTTCTATAAAATCACGTGATTCATTTGGAAGAGAACCAAACACAGTGGTGCCACGGAAAACTAAAAACAAGCTTTCTGCCATGAGCCAAGGATTAAAACTTACTTAGACGAAGGTGGCCTTGTTCGATCCATTAACTTAATCAGACGGTAAACAAAATAAGGCGACTCTGAATGCAAATCAATCATTCCCAAATGCAACAAAAGCATTTCAGTAGATGCGGTCAGCTCCCTAGATCAACACTTTAGTTCCGGTCAAGAAAGAGTTCTGTTGGGCTATCGCCGCAGAACACCTTTGCGGAACTCATGTGAGTGGCTGACGCAAAGAAATAGTGGAATGCGCCAGTTATGTCCGAAAAATTTGAAAAATAGCCCACGCAGAGATTCCAATTGACTTCAAAACTTTCGGCCATGTCGAGAATGGACTCAACCTAAATTGGGCACAGCACTGATCTCGGTGGGTGGTCCTACTGTATGCGTAACACGTCATCTAGCCTCTGGGGCTCATGGAGGTACACACGTCCCTTAAGTGAAGTGTTAGCTACATAATTCGTTCTGTAACTCTCCTGGCACACTTGTCAGCTTACACAAGCTGTGTTTCGGAGATGAGAACCGAAGCCCCTTCATTTGTCTGGCATAATGAAAACCAAGTCCCCTATGAGGACAAAGCATCCTATCATGACCTGTTTGACGCATTCCTTTTTTCTCAATGACATGCTACTCGGACACCAAAGATTATGTAGCTTAGATGGAGTACATCCCCACCGGGAGGGGGTGGTGAATGGTCGCAATGGTCTCAATATCCGATGGAGCGCGAAGAGGTGGTGGACACGATCACTGTTAAATGACTCAAAGGGTTGATAATTGGGCTCGAACCCGAACCTGATTTATTGATTATTCCTCTCCAGGCGAAGGTAAGCTCATGATAACTGATTAATCGTGAATTACGTGGAATATATGGATGGAAAATGAACAGTTTGGTTTCTAGCACACCGGCTACCACCTCTAATACGCAGATACCTACCACAACTCCCTAAATTATCAGTGAACGAAAGTGTGGCAGCTTAAACCACTGTACGGCAAGTATGTGGCTCTGATGATGCTGATGATGATGACAGCGGCCGCCCGTTTCCCCCGGGCAACTATTCTCTCGTGGGTAATTCGCATGCATTCGTAAGTTGACGCCAAAAGTTTTCGCACAACAGGACTCACGCTGACTCTTTTACTTATTGTAGTAAAGAGTACAGGGTGATGCCACAATCACCCGATCACCACAGGGGTAATCGGTAATACATGAACAACAGGCCTCCATGGGGAAGGATCACAGGTCAAATGTGGATTTCAACGAATGTGGAAACAAACACCAATTTTGATCAAACATTATTTAGATAACCAAAAAATCCATCAGCCCACAAAAATTGGACATGCAGCAGACAATGAGAGAAAGAGAGAAAAAATTAATCAACCCATTCTAGTTGATGATAATGATGATGACAGGTAGATAGTGAGCAGCATCAACAACAGTCCGGCAAAATTACGATGGAAAATCAACAGTTTGATTACATACGAGAACAGAGAAATAATAATAATAATAACAAAATGTCACACACAATTCGAGTGGGTGCTCCCCGTAGTGACTACCCAGTTTAAAGGGACGGAGGATATGCTAAAATAAATTGTAGAGCATAACAACAAGAGAAAAATACGCTTGTCTTTTTTTGTTTATCTGAGACACAAGTGGAATTCCGCGGCATCCGTCATCTATTGGGCTAGCGAAAGTCGTAATGAATATGTATGTAGAACACAAGTGGGAAGGTGGAGAGAGGGGTGAGGCGACAGAAGTCACAAAAAGCTGGAACTGATAATCGTTGGTTGGCACACTGAAAGATGTGAGAACTTGATGGATAAGAAGCGATGAATAATAGAGCCTTCACTTGTTTCTCAACGAATGGCCAGTCAAAAGGGAAGAACCAACTGACTGTCGTGAAAAGTATGCATGTGACTTGGAAATAAGCCGGCGCTTACCAAAACGAAAGCCATTTAGATGTTAGAAAACAGACGAGCCAAAGATAGATAGGGCACAGAGATTGGAAAGAGGGAGTTGCAATCCATCGATATCGCTACGCCCACGAACCAAATGAATTTTCACCACTGTACATCACGTACAGAAATCCATCGTCATCGCAAAAGTCTGAGTACAACTGACCGATGGACGTGCTGAAAAGAAATAAGGAAAGAATGGCGACAGTTCAAGTGAAGCACCGCAGACAACCGTAATGCGAGGTAGAACTTAGGACGTTTGGTTCACCGGGAAAGACCCTGTATATAATGCCTGTTTTTTTGGACAGCACGAGACTGTACGCACAAAACCATCCCATTAGTCCCAGTCATTACTGTATCAGCTGTTACTTGTTATTATGCCGGATGATGGCAAGTATGATAGGCATATGACCGGTCACATGGGACGCACGTGGGGTGCAGTAAGCTCAATTGACTATCAGGCACGAGCAGAATTGCCAAAGATTATGGTAGAAACCCGGATGCTAATAAAACCTATTCCTTCACATCAAAAGAGTGTTGAGCTTCAAAAACTAAGTGTCAACAAACTCGTGATAGCTTAGCGGGAAAGGGTTATTACGCGCAACCCTAGGATTACTGCGTCGCAGTTATGTCAGAATGTTTTCGTCACTCCCTCCGTTCGGTTTTGTCTGGTATCTAACACGCATTCCCGATCCTCAACTACCAGCTACGGACATTTTCGGACAAGTTTTCATAGTCTAAACATAGCGAGATGGTCGCACCACGTTTATTTCATATCCCACTCCAGAACTTTTAATGTGTAACTGCGAGGTGGTTCAGTAGTTAGGGCGCGAATTGACTGATCGAAAGGTCCGTGGTTCACACCCGACCTCTCGTTCTCGACTTCCCCTGTCTAGACTTGTGTGACCTGGCAGTATCCCAGCCCTCGTACTTCCTTCTGGTGGCATGGCAGTTAGGTACCGAAAGGGTGTTACATCTGAAAGATATCATCATCATCATCAACGACAGCACGACATTTTCTATTGGAACATATTGCAATTCCCATAGAGACAATCCCCAGGTGAAGGATGCCCAACCATGAGGTAGGTTCACTTCATTCAGCAAGAGTTTACATTTACACGATCGGTTCACTCTACCGATCAGTTTTTATACACGTCCTTTACGTGTATGTTGTAAGGAGATACAGAGAAGCCATATCACCTTGGCATTCGCATCCAGTACGCATCAGCTGCAGGCACACGTGCCTGGATGAAATGACAGATCATGATGCCACTTCTGTCATCGCCATTGGAAGACAGTTTGCGTCGCTTAACTGACACATACTGACCAGAAGCTCAAACCAATCTTAACAAGGATTCCTTAGGGCAAGTCCTAGGCACACTCAAACGCTCAGATACACCATCGTTCTCGCACATGTCATTGAGACTGTCACTGAAAGCTTTGCGTAAACAGTCAAAGCTGCATCAGATTTGATTGAGATATTGTGGTAAAGAATGGTAGGACGGGTGAGGTAGGATGTTGTAACTGTCTCGAAGTTCTATATTAGGGAGCAGAAGTGGGAAACTGGGTTCACTAAAATATGGTTTCCATAAACAACTGAAGTAGTTGCGACCCAAAGAATGACACCTTCGCTGACAGTCCACAGAGAGGTATGGGCGCATGGCCATCCATACCTAGGTCCCAAGTGGTCAGCTATCTTTACTATAAGAAATACCCTTTTCTGGTATTGTCTATTTCTCAGAATGAGAGCACTTGTCATGAACCAGCTGAGTTGATTTGACCTTCACACTGCACCATGGATTAGCCTGCTTACAATGGAAACTTTTCTGACAGGGTGTTGAATATCGAATCCTTGTTACAATCCAACAAAGAGAATTTCTTGATTGTGTCTTAATACCTGTCTAGCCGGGATGATCCAGGATAACTGGACGCCAATTTAAGCTGTATGGGTGCTGAATGCTGCGCTGAACCTTTGAACATATAAGTGTGTATGACTGAATAGCTCGTCTGTGTTTTAGCCAACAACAACAGTGCACACCCTACGCTGGTTTAGTCGCCGTTTTGACGCTTTAAAACGCACAACGAAAGCTCTGTCATATTACCATTCAGTCGGAAGCAGGGGACTAGGCCTGTACATGACCACATGATGCATAAACCAAGTCTCATGTTCCTACAGTCACAAAACAATGTTCCCTATTGATTTGGAAGGGAAAAGTCTCCACGGGATGTAGCCCAGCTCAGGGGAATTTTGAGAACTCCGAAAGATATAGTGGAGCGATTTAAACCATTCGGCGGGAGAGGTAATTATTCTGCAAGATATTAAAGAATCAAAATTAGTATTCGTCCTGGTCTGTTGAAGGAAGGGTGCATACCACAAGTGGTCAAGAAGAAATGCGTCCCAAGATCTCAATTAACGAGGAAGGACTCGGAGGCTGTCCGTGAGTCAGTTCTGAAAACTTCAACATTAATGACAGCTGGTTTCAGGACTGTTAAAAAATGAATACCGTATGTTGCACTGACAAGCAAGAAGTTAGTGCTGTTGTCGTCCATGGCTAATAATATACCTGGTTACAGTGCTTTTCAGAATACTTTAGAAGAACTGTCTTCCGTCGGATCAGAAGATCGACAAATACATAGGTCTGATACCATCCACCCTGCAGGGCGAAAGACTAAGTCATCCGAAGAAGCAGCTGTCCGATCATCAGGAGGGTTGGGAACCTGATCATGCATTGCGTCACAATCACAAGATTATTCCCTTTTCCGATGTAAATGACAAGTGTGTCAATGGCTGATCATCCTCATCACTGACAGCAACACCAGATATGAGAAAACTGGTGCCTCACTGCCGTACAACCATGTCCATTTGTTTGAATGCAGCTTTCTAATGGAAAGAAATAGGGGCGGGAAGGAGAACTAGGGTAGCCTACAGCAAACATCCAAGGTGATTACACTTCCAACACTCAGTCAGACATTCTAGGTAGAAACTGACAGCATGACCGCCACCTGAAGATATCTCAGATCTTCCGACCCAAGTGGCCAAGTCTTGCAACCCGCACCATAGTACGATACACGGAACTTTGATAACCGATGACACGCCTTTTTGATGCCGCATTTGGTGCAAATTGATAAACACAATTCTGGCCTTCGAGATTTGCGTGTTGACTCCGTGCAACACTACTGTCCAAGTTACTCATAGCATTCTACAACGTCCAGCGCTCCTACCCGAATTCTTGGAGATGTGATCGAGGACTCTATGCCCTGCAGCATGTGTGCGTACAAAGTACATGGGTGCAAATTGATAAACACAATTCTGGCCTATGAGATTTGCGTGTTGACTCCGTGCACACTACTGTCCAAGATACACATAGCATTCTACAACGTCCCCGACCTAAAGCTGCCACCTTGACGTGGTGGTCGGGCTTCAGTGCTGCAATGATCCCGCGGGCTACACTGGCTGGAACTTCGTTCCACAAGGTGCAACCATGCCAGGAAGGCCAAAGGGGAGCAGC